GTGCGGGAAGCAGGGCGCCGCGCCGGTAGCCATTGTACGGTGTAATTAACCAGCGCTCCTAGCAAGTTTAATTCAAAAATCACGCCTGCCGCAACGAGTTTCGTCGAAGCTTTCGAATAAGCTAGCCAATGTAGGCAAAACACGCACTAGCGTACTAATTGACGATCACTGGTGTGTCGTGACGTGGAAACTGGTGCTTTGGGAGAAACGGTGACTTAAACGCCAAGTTTCGCGTTGTCATGTAGCACGTGATCCTTGAGAAGAACTGAAAGCTTTCAAGAATTCTGAGCTTTCAATACCAGGTCGACTCACCGCTTCCGCGATCAACAAGAGCCATGTTCTCCATGACGTCGACGTTCAACCTAAACGCGAGGTGTGCGGAAGAGTCATCGACCATGGACGTCTCGACTCGTCCGAGGCGATCGGTCTCTCCGACCATATGGGCCAATTTGACCCACTACGCGTACAGGAACCGCAGCTTCGATCCCGGTCTGGACTTCGAGGAGAAACCGATGGAGGCCTGCCACTCGCTGTACTTCCTCCTGGACTTCTTCCATCAATACTACATCCCCTCGATCATCCTGCTGGGCCTGGTGGGCAACCTGCTGTCCTGCATAGTCTTTCTGAACACCCACCTCAGGATACGCAGCTCCAGCTACTATCTTGCCGCCCTGGCCACCGCTGACTTTGGCTTCCTGATCACTCTGCTGCTGGTCTGGCTGAACAACACTCTGGGTTGGAAGGTGTTCAACAAGGACGGCTGGTGCGAGACCTTGGTCTACGTGAGCGCCGTCTGCAGCTCCCTGAGTGTCTGGCTGATCGTTGCTTTCACCGTGGAGAGATTCATAGCGATCCAGTACCCGCTGCATCGCCCCCACATATGCACCATCGCCAGAGCAAAGGCGATCGTGCTAGTACTGGTGATCTTGGCACTGGCTAGCCACTCGTACTCCTTCGTCACAGCCGGGGTAGTTTTGAACAGAGAGGGCGAGGAGTACTGCGACCTCAAGGTCGAGTATCTGGAGACCATGAAGATTATCAGCATCATCGACAGCATCGCTAGTCTAATCGCCCCGTTGGTTCTGATTATCGTAATGAACACCATGATCATGAGGAATCTTCTAAAGTTCAGCAGGCGGTTCAAGGAGACGTCTTCCTCGTCCACCGACTGGCCCAGCAGGGAAAGGTCTGACATCAACTTGAATCGAATTCCGGTGAGTGCTAAACTCGAAGTTTCCCTTACACGTTCGCCTTAGTCTGTGGATAATCTTTCTCCTTGCAACGCGGGAACCATCTACGCGGTTCGTTAATTATCTTCGACGTCTTGGGGAGGATGTTGTTTCTCCCTTCGGGAAGGTGGAAACGCTCGACTTCTCGGTGACCTAGAAATTAGGCGACGTCGACTCAGGGAATAGTCGAAGACGCTTAATTTTTTCACCCGACATCGACAGAGACGAGGGTGTAGGTAATCTATATTTTCCCCGGACGTTTAATTTATTTCTAGCGGCGCACGATGAATCAGCAGGTAGTAAAAACCGACGCCCTTACGTCTCAAGATTCGATAGCTAATGGAAGCCACTATTTTGAATGCGTGCCGCGACGCAGGCTCCTGTCTCCGGTTGAACGACCCGAGGACTTTTTATTTTTCTTACCCACCGCTGGGAGACGTCCCATGCGAAAACAAGTCGAGTTTTCACAAAGTAACTCAAACAAAGCATAGATCACGGATGTAGAATATATTTGTCCAATCTCATCGATGATTTCCATTGCTGGGGTTTGTTTACGCCGCGATTGGTCAATGGCAAGATGAATTCGATATTTTTTTCAAACTGGTATAAACATCCGCAGTCTAATTATTACTGGTGAATTAAATAAACTATTATATAAACAATTTTTCTTAATACAGCACTCTAATGATATTCATTAACAGACTCGCAACTTTTTTTTGATACTTATTACAGTGTACATAGATAAAAAAACCACAGACAAGATAAAAAAGTTAGAGTAATTTGTCCACGTGTTTCTGTTCGACGTTCCGTCGTGTGTTTTTTTTTTACTTTCTAAAGTATCTTCTATATCACGCCAGAAGTTTAAAGAAATGCGAAGAACCACTGTTCAAGAGATCGGCAAACGTAAACAAGAGCTGCTGCGGAAGAGTCATCGGGGCGAGTGCGTGGACTATTCGAGCAAGCATTCTAGTCACGCGGGATGATCCGCCCGCCGTGCTTAGATCAACGTATCAACAATTCTCGAAATAGTTCATCCGTCCTCACGTTACGCGAAAGCCGTTTTTGCGGAAAAACTGGTTTTCCGAGGAACGCGGATAGAATGCAGGATTAACAGGTGTATTGTTATCCCACTCGAATTTGAGTTACGCTCGTGTTCGATTAAAACAGTAAGCAAAGATTTCGCATGTCGTAGAACATGTTTTATGAATTTCTAGTGAATTCTGCGTATGCAAAATTTATAAGGTAAGATACAAATGACAATGAGTCACTGTAAATCGGGGCGTGTCGTTTGCAGTAGGAGCGCATTGATTGGAAATCTATTTTTAACAGCGCCACCATTGATTTCACACTCGTTTAATTTAAAACTCTTATCACGTCTGTATTTAGTTGATTCGTGTCGCATCCTGTACCATTTAAACAAAAACATTAACTCGATGCGATAAAATTATATCATTCGACTTTAGAATGCGGTTTTACACGTCGCTATTATTTGAAACAGTACTTGAAATACTGTTCCACGAAATTTTATCCAGCTCTGATTACAATCAACAATGATGGCGTTTTTATGCCACGCAACCTTGCTCTGTCCAGATTTAGAAGGTCCGGTTCAGCGTCTGCGTGAAATTATTATAAACAGCTTAGAAGTCTTACCACCTCTGAAATCCGTACCGAGCCTTTTTCTTCGAGCCCTGTTCAACTAATCCCGAACATGTTCCATAATATTTAAATCGAAAGTTTTAGGTAGCCAACTCGTAACTTTTAATGTTTCCTTCTTCTCTGAATCTTTTAAATAATTTTTTACAATTCTGTTAAATGTATATCTGAGGTCTGGAGTCAACTGGAACCCTCTCAGATTCCTCTGGCTGCCTCTTTCCGGCTTGTCTACATATTTCATTGACTTTCCATACAATTTGTCCCTACGCCCCCATTGGTTGGAAGACGGCTGCGGCTATCGAGGTTCTCAGCTATTTTGGAACGTTTTATAAATATCTCACAGCTTACGTAACCGTCACCATTCATCTTTATAGATACAACCTCGAAGTGTTTCCCTTTTGCCCGCGAATTGATCTCTTCGTGGTGTGTCGAACTACACAATGTCTCGTTTCACGAGCCAATCGTGTTTTGCTCCGTCGACGGGCACCGTGTGCCGATTGTAACGAATGTATACGTCCACCCACGCCGGGGACTCAATTACTGCAAGTAATTGAAATGTACGCGGTTCCAGCAGACGTCCAGCCAACGGTAACCTCTTTCACGCCACGTGGACAACTGGTAATTTACGGCCTTTTGTCATAACTTCATTTTGACATCGAGCGTTCGCGATGACCCGATGGAAATCGAAATCATCTTTGGAGATTTTGCAAAATTCCAAAAAGGGAGGAATCTCACGAAATTTTCTTTTCAATTAATTTCAAATACGCGAATGCACGTTATTACCTGTTTTTTTTTTAAATGTATCTGTATGTAAAATTGCATTTTGCATTTCGTGTTCGCAACTATAACGCATAGAAAAAGACTGTGATTGGCGTTGAAAAAAATGCGGGGCAGAGGAAAAACATTCGACTTTCCATGGTCTTCAATTCGATGCGATTCATTGGAGCGCGCTCGTTCGTTTATAGTCATAACGCATTCAAAGCGATACGTGATAATTTTATCCGAGCGGTCCCGTTGCGCTGACCAGCTACAAAACTGATACGTGTTTGGACCAATCGCTGATGAAACAATGACAACCGTCATTAAAACTTCTATCTTTGAAAAATCAGGTAGTGAAACGTGACCGCGCTAGATTTCTATAAACAATTGCAGATTATTTGACGTGACATAATATTGCCGATGATGCTCTACTAATTTGCGTCGAATAGTGGAGCAGTATTGATCGATTGAACGATCCAAATTCAAATTTCTCAAACAACGACGTTCGGCAACGAGTTCTGTACATTTGTCAACGAGATACTGGACTTATAGTTCAAATTGCTGAACGTCCGAATTATGAGCCTACAGGCGCAGAAGTATTTTACTGACGTCGTTGCCGGCGCGGTGAAAACCAGGAGAGGAAAGGTGAATACGAATTGGAGACAAACCTAACCCTCTCCGAAATACGAATTATCGCACTCGTTCTGATCCTGCATGGTCATTGTTACCTCGATGAACAAGGTGAATGACAAAGATAATTAGACGTGCAACATGTAGGTCCGGACTTGACATGAAGCCGATTGATCATTTCCATTGATTAGCGTAGACTGTTCAGTGCATCACTTGAATTGCATGGGAATATTTGATCTCGTTTCTAGTTTCTCTTGACGAGAAAAGTGAACAATACGGATCATCAGTCACTACATGTAATACTTCGTTTGGCATGAGTGTGCATACCTTTTGGTTATATTTAGTATTAGTTTATATCATAAATGTATGAAATCCGCAGTTGTTACATAGTGAGTTACATAGATCACTGGGTGATCATCTATTGTTTGTTTCCGTGTCTCATTGTTGAAGATTATGACGAATTAATTAATTTTGGTAACTAGCATCTATTCAACAAACGTTGGTCGGTATAGTTGAATCGTTTTTTCCTGAAGCAAGTATGAAAGCAACTTTATGCGAAAACTTCTTGCTATGTGAAACCTTGACTTGTTTTGCTCGTGATTGCTGTTATGGCATAATGCTAGGAAACGAGTACTCTGTCCGCTGGAAGACTTTTTGTGATAGGTTTTTTCTCATTCGAAGTGTCTGAATACATTTCTTATTCCAATAATCAGCTATAACTACCAGCTATTAAGTAGATGATCTCATTAACGACCAGTTGTTTATTTCGTTAATTTTAATTTCACATGTTCAGCAATATACTAATCAAGAGGTCAAGCACATTACTGAAAGCATTTGTTTATTATTTCATATGTTGATCTTCTTTTCACTTTCTTAACACCGTATGTCCAATCAAGATTCGCGCGTCGATCCACGCAATGCAGCGCCTGCTAGACAACATTTTAAGTTCTGTGTAACATTGTTATTCTCGTTGCATGTAGGCTGCTATGTTCCACTCTTATTAAATCCACGAATGACTCATGAGTCATGTGATCACCACTCCTTCCTTCCATGTCTGCCAGCGCAAAGTTAGTCGCATAATGTATCTCGGCGCATCAACAAGTGTGCTTTTTATCGCTAATTCTGCGAGTGTTTTGGTTAGATGTGGATTGTCTATTATCTATTAATTATATAGAAGTGAAACAGGTATGTCATGTCAAGTTCACAAAAGCCTCCTGGTTGAAGCCTTGTCTGAAGTCAATTAAATACCTCTATTAATTCCTGGGAATCCTCGATAAACTTAGTAAACTAGGTGTTTACTCTATTCGAAATCAGCATGGACCCGTTCGCGACGACTCTAATCCTCGTGGCAGTGTTTCTGCTCCTCTATCGGTATCTATGGAAGCCAATGAATTACTTCAAGCAACTGGGAATCCCTCACGCACCTTGGATCCCAATCCTAGGCCACATTGGGCCTGTCCTCTTTCGGTGTAGCTTCCTCGGAGAGCACGCGCAGAAAATGTACAATCGCTTCCCAGACGCTAAATACTTTGGATTCTACATATTCACCACTCCTGTGATAATTCTCCGTGATCCTGAACTGATTACATTGATCGCTATCAAGGAGTTCGACAGTTTCACCGACCACCTCAGCATGGGAAACGAGGACATGGACCCTTTAATGGGGAAGACGTTGTTCTTCCTTCGAGGCGACAGCTGGCGAGAAATGAGGAAGCTGTTGAGCCCAGCCTTCAGCGCCGCCAAGATGAAGATCATGTTCAACCTGATCACCGACTGCGCGGACAGCTTCACCAAACATATAGCCGAGGAATCCAAAGATGGGAAAGTGTACCATTTGGAAGACACCTTTGGTCGATACGGTACCGACATGATCGCAACGTCCTGCTTTGGAATCAGCGTCGACTCCATGAAGAACCCCAACAACGAGTTCAATGTATTCGCTAAGCAGCTGATAGATTTCCCGTTTCTCAAGGTGCTGAAAGTATTGATTGGCAGACACTTTCCAAGTGTGGCGAGACTCCTCGGGATCAAAGTATTTGACGACCAAACTCGTAGCTACTTTACTCGAGTCATTACCGAGACTGTTAATATGAGGAAGGAGAAGGTAGGTCTGAATTAGGTCTGGGTGATCCATCCTATCCACTTGCCACCTTGCCAGCAGATGAAACAATTACTACACTATTGCCAAAATAATCCAGCCTCCTGCATTTACTAAAATCTCAACCTTCCAACCTTCTCTCTACATCTGTATCCAATGTTTATTATTCCCTCTAATCCCTCAACCTTACATAGAAAACTCACTTGTCATGACATATACACTATGTCCCAAAACAGGGTATCTACCGTCCAGACATGATTCAACTGATGATGGAGTCTGGGGACACGAGCGGGAAGGAGCTAACGATCGACGAAATGACGAACCAGGCTTTCAGCTTCTTCCAGGCTGGCTATGGGACATCCTCCACTGTCCTATCGTTTGTTGTTTACGAACTCGCCGTGAACCCAGAGATTCAGGCCAGATTGAGAGCAGAAATCGAGGAAATTGCGAGGAAAACAGATGGAAGACCGACTTATGATGCTATCAAAGGCATGGCGTACTTGGACGCGGTGCTAAACGAAACTGCCAGACTGTACCCTGTGACGACAGTTCTGGATCGCGTGTGCGTGAAAGAGTTCGAATTCCCACCAGCCATGTTCGATTCGAAACCTGTCACGATCAAACCTGGTACCATGATAGGTTTCATGCCGTTTGCAACTCAACGCGACCCAAAGTACTTTCCAGATCCGCTCAGATTCGACCCTGATCGATTTTTGAGCGGTGAAATACCCCAAAAACACTTCTTTCCCTTTGGATTGGGACCTAGAATTTGTATTGGAAATAGATTCGCTATGATGGTGCTGAAAATTGCATTGTTTTATCTTTTATTGCGCTGCGACTTCGAGCCTTGCGCTCAGACGACGATCCCCATGAGATTCAGCAAGAAGAGCGTTTTACTGGCTGCTGAGAATGGATTCTGGTTAAATTTCAAGACCAGGGAAAACAAAACTGTGTTGCGAACGAATGACGCCAATGGCGAATTTTAGGGTGGGTCCTGGGCACTTCTGAAATTGTACATATTATTTGGTACGTTATTTCGAATAACGCGTTATTTTATTTTATAATTATTTTACCTGTGTTCACTTTTGTAATAGTACTTTTTGGAATATACTTTCTGCCTTGCATGTTTCCAAGTATCTTCTCCAGCTTTACGAATAATTCTTTATTGGTCAATCAAGAACTGCTCAATGATAAGATTAGACAGATAACCAGACTTTAAATTTTGTGAAACAGCTTAATCTCGAAACATGGTTCGAGTCATTCCCTCTCAGGTAATGGCGTGCAGAAGTAACTTCGCGCGCCAAACATTGATTTCATTTACGCGTGACTCACGAGTCCACGTGACCACCACTTTCAGACGTTAGATCACCGCTATCTGCGCGAATGCCAGTTTAGCGACGCTCCTCTGCGTGCAAGCAAACGCTTTATTTCGCCACTCAGCCGCATTTTCTTCGAGAAGTTGTCTGTCGAGTCTCGATCAAGATGATCTCGTTCACAATAGCGTTAATCGTCGTGGCTGTGTTGCTCCTCGTTTACCGCTATCTGTGGAAGCCGATGAAGTACTTCGAGCAAGTGGGTGTCCCCCACGAACCATGGCTGCCGATCGTAGGCCACTTGGCGCCGATCGTGTTTCGTCGGGTCTATTTTTCCGACCATTTCCAAGCAATGTACAATCGTTTTCCAGACGCCAAGTATTTTGGAGTCTACAGTTTTACCAAACCTGCGATAGTGCTCCGTGATCCTGACTTGATCGCTTCAATTACCATAAAGAACTTCGATAACTTCACCGACCATGTTGGCTTCGCTAACGAACAATTGGATCCTCTGTTGGGGAAAAACCTGTTCGCTATGAAGGGCAACAATTGGCGAGAGATGAGGAAGGTGTTGAGTCCAGCGTTCACGTCCGCCAAGATGAAGATCATGTTCAACCTGATTATCGACTGCGCGGATAACTTCACCAAGCATATCGCGAAACACTCCAAAGACGGGAAAATATTCAATGTGAAGGACATCTTTGGTAGATACACGAACGACGTTATCGCAACTACCAGCTTTGGAATTGCTGTGGACTCGATGGAGGATCCTGAGAACGAATTCTTCGTGTTCGCCAAGCAAACTGTACAGGCTTTCAATAACCAGACGGCGAAGATGATGCTGATAACGAACTTTCCTACTCTGGCAAGACTGCTCCGTATGAGGATGTTCAACGAGGCGACACATCGATACTTTACCAGTGTTGTTGCCAACACTGTTCAAATGAGGAAGGAGAAGGTTGGTATCCCACTATTAACAGGTTGACTGCCAGACGAATACTCTTACGAATTCTATTTGAGACATTCATGTGCTAGGGTATTTACCGACCAGACATGATCCAGCTGATGATGGAGTCCAGACACGGGGACGGACGAGAGCTCAGCATCGATGAAATAACGAGCCAAGCGTTTATCTTCTTCCTGGCTGGTTACGAAGCGTCCTCGACCTTGCTGTCCTTCGCTGCTCACGAAATCGCCGTCAACCCTGACGTACAGGCTAGATTGCGAGCAGAAATCGAGGATGTCATGAAAGCTACCAATGGAAAACCCACCTACGACGCTGTCAACAACATGAAGTATATGAGCGCAGTGATAAACGAAGCTGGCAGATTATACCCTGCGGCAGTCGCTTTGGATCGACTCTGTGTAAAGGAGTTCGTGCTCCCCCCCGCAACAGAGAATTCCAAGCCTGTGACGATGAAACCGGAAGATCTCGTGTGGATCATACCATTTACGCTCCACCGAGATCAAAAGTACTTCCCAGAGCCGAAAAGATTCGATCCTGATCGGTTTCTGACGGAAGAGATTCCTCAGAACGTGTTCGTTCCATTCGGTATAGGCCCAAGGATTTGCATAGCGAACAGGTTCGCCTTGATGGAGGCCAAGATTGCGTTGTTTTACCTTCTACTGCGCTGCGACATAGAGCCTTGCGCGCAGACTACCATTCCTATGAAATTCAGCACTAAGACCTTCTCCATGGTGCCTGAAAATGGATTCTGGTTGAGGTACAAGACCAGGGAAAATGGAAACGCGTAACTGTCGTCAGTGTTGATGTCGATGAAGCTTTGGATGCTACACCTGATAAATAAAAAATGTATTTGAATAAAACATTTATCTCTTAACCTGCTCCGAATCTCTTATAAATTGTTATTTGCAACTTGATATGTAGTTGGAGTCATTGTATGTCACTTGAGATTCCCGATTATAATTGAAACCATCACCTGCTGATTGGAATCGTCGATTGACGTTGGTTATAGTCGAAGACGTACACAGGTACAATTGTCAACGCTCAGAGTGAACCACTTTGATCGAGTGAATAAAAAGTAACCAACGCGAAATTAAATAAGGTTTCGCAAGAGTGAATGTTTCGATTGAATCATTCTTTTATTTTTTTTTTTGCATTTTTGCAGCTTCTCCTGAATCTATACCGAGAGTATCACTATCGAGACAAATTCGAGATTGCAACGTTTTGCATTTTTTCGATATTCAGATATAAATTGAGCCTAGAAATTGCGAAAAGCTGTTTGAAAAAAAAATATTGTATATGCATGTGTGTAGAAATGTGTGTTGGTCGTCTTTTAATTGGGACCTGTCATATTACCACAAAATGACCTTGACCGTAAGCTCTCGGCCGTATCAATGTACACAAAAGTACAATTGAATGAAATTCAATTGACCGAGAAACTGAGCCTGTTATGCGAGTTACGTCATCCATGCCCCCTACTTTTATACTACGCCGGATTGCCTCTCTCCACAAAACTCATGCGTGCTGGTCGTCCACATATGTATACATATAGCCAGTTCGTTTACCTTGATTACCCAATACTTTGTTCGCAGACAAGTAGCGCTAGATAATTGCTCATTGAAATATTCTGTTGCATCATGTAATGTATGGAATATGTTAGCAGTTCTCTGTTATGCAGATTGCCAAATGAAAAGCAAGCAAAGTTGCATTTGCATTTCTGCATTGAATAATCAAATTATAAGTATTCTTAGGATACACTAACGTATCTTAAAGAAGTCAATTTATTCACTGCTGAAACATGGAACATATGCTAAAAAATAATTGGTAATGTTACTAATTCCTATTCTCTTATGTTATATTTGATTGTTTTTAATAAAACTTTTTCAGAGATCAGATAAAATACGTTTATAAAATATGTATAATAAAAATTGTATAGAAAGAAAGATTATAACACCATCCAGACAAGCTTTATCAGTTGCGTATATATCATTCAAACTCTTCCATTCTTCAAACAATGTTATGACCAATCAAAAGCTTCGTCAGTATCAACGTTATTTACAACTACGCATTTCCATTTTCCCTGGTCTTGTACCTCAACCAGAATCCATTTTCAGGCACCATGGAGAAGGTCTTTGTGCTGAATTTCATACGAATGGTAGTCTGCGCGCAAGGCTCTATGTCGCAGCGTAGTAGAAGGTAAATCAACGCAATCTTGGCCTCCATCAAGGCGAACCTGTTCGCTATGCAAATCCTTGGGCCTATACCAAATGGAACGAACACGTTCTGAGGAATCTCTTTCGCCAGAAACCGATCAGGATCGAATCTTTTCGGCTCTGGGAAGTACTTTTGATCTCGGTGGAGCGTAAATGGTATGATCCACACGACATCTCCCGGTTTCATCGTCACAGGCTTGGAATTCTCTGTTGCGGGGGGGAGCACGAACTCCTTTACACAGAGTCGATCCAAAGCGACTGCCGCAGGGTATAATCTGCCAGCTTCGTTTATCACTGCGCTCATATACTTCATGTTGTTGACAGCGTCGTAGGTGGGTTTTCCATTGGTAGCTTTCATGACATCCTCGATTTCTGCTCGCAATCTAGCCTGTACGTCAGGGTTGACGGCGATCTCGTGAGCAGCGAAGGACAGCAAGGTCGAGGACGCTTCGTAACCAGCCAGGAAGAAGAAAAACGCCTGGCTCGTTATTTTATCGATGTTGAGCTCTTGTCCGTCCGCGTGTCTGGACTCGATCATCAACTGGATCATGTCTGGGCGGTAGATACCCTATTTTGGGACATAGTTCAAACGTCTTGATACAAGATTCGTATATAGGAGAGTGGTAATCAAAAGTCTGATGAATGAAAAATGTTGCAAGTGGACCAAATAAGATACCAACCTTTTCCTTTCTCGTTTTAATTGTCTCGGCAACAACGTTGGTGAAGTATCTCCGAGTCTCATCGCTGAATAATTTTAAACCGAGGAACCTTGCCAGTCTAGAAAAGTTTCGTATAACCATAACCTTCAACATCTGCGTAGAGAAAGCCTGTACAATCTGCTTGGCGAACATGAAGAACTCGTTCTCAGGATTCTCCATCGAGTCCACGGTGATCCCAAAGCTGGTGGTCGCGATAACGTCGTTTGTGTATCTACCGAAGCTGTCCTTCAAATCGAACACTTTCCCTTGTTTGGATTGCTTTGCGATATGCTTGGTGAAGTTATCCGCGCAATCGACGATCAGGTTAAACATGATCTTCATCTTGGAGGACGTGAAGGCTGGCCTCAACACCTTCCTCATCTCTCGCCAACGATCGCCCTTAAGGGCGACTAGGTTTCTCCCTAACAAAGGTTCCACTTTCTCGTCTGTGAAGCTATCGTGATCGGTGAAGTTGTCGAAGTTTTTTATGGTAATTGAAGCGATCAAGTCAGGATCACGGAGTACTATCGTAGGCTTGATGAAACTGTAGACTCCAAAGTACTTGGCGTCTGGAAAACGATTGTACATTGTTTGGAAATGTTCAGCGAAGTGGACGCGACGAAACATGATGGGCCCCATGTTGCCTAGGATCGGAAACCAAGGTTCGTGAGGGATTCCCATTTGTTCCAAGTACTTCATCGGCTTCCACAGGTAGAGATAGATTAATAGAGTCGCTGTAGCAAGGATTAGAGCTGCTGTGAACGGATCCATGTTAGATCAAATCCGAATGAGCTGCTCCAGGAAAATATGAATAGCGTTCCGAAGTACTTTTTTACGCGTCGAAGAACGCAGCGTAACTAAAAATTATATTGCCAACTGTAGGGGTAGGCATATGAGTGGTCAGCACGTGACTTCTGACGCATACCTAAATTAAATCTGATTAGATATCTCGTGTATGTAGTAGCTTGTAACCTCGCTTCTTTATATGAACAACTCGTGGCCGGTTGCGTGATAAGAGTTTATCAAATATTCAAACGTTTGTTTATCTTTTTATCATTAGCGCGTAGTCATTCATCATTATTTTATATCTATTTTCTATTTGTTTTGATTAGCGGCATGTAGAATCTTAGTTTTGTAAACAACTCGGTGATAATATGATAAAGTGTATCGAACAAAGTTGAGAATAGTACACGTACAATATTGGGTATGTAGTTTCACTAGTGCGAAACGTTTATCTCGTAATCCACTCCAAATCTTTTAGCAAACCTGTCCAGGAGTCGTATGCCACATAATTGTCATACTGGAGTGTTCATCCACTCCTGTCGTCCTGATATGAGTATCAACAAGTGTTTCGACTCGCTGCTCTCGCGAATTTCTCTTGGGACGGGATCCTCTTCGAGTCTCGATCGAGATGGATCTGCTAACAACAATCTAATCTTTGCTATCGTCTCCTATGGAGGTCGATAAATCATTGGAATTACCTGAGAATTTCTAAAATACAATGTTTTTTAAAATTATTCATTGGTTCAGCATTGTTAACGATTGTTTTTAGGTGTTCCGTATTGATAAAGCCATCATTATAAATCAGAGTTCCATTTAACCTTGATAAGGCGTTCTATACAAAATAGCAAGCTCGTGATGTTCTGTGGTATAGTATTATGTAACAAGCTGTTACGAAAACTATATAACAGCGCCACAAGTCTGTCGTGAATGAATACCAGGATCATCGACTAGCTGGTGACAGTCTCGAAAACACTTTGAAGATGGACCTGTGTGCAACAACTTTAACCCTCGTGGCAGCGTTCCTCCTCGTGTACCACTTCCTGTGGAAGCCGATGAAGTACTTCGAGCGACTGGGAATCCCACACGAACCTTGGATTCCGATCCTAGGCCACATAGCACCTCCCTTGTTCCGTCGTATCTTCATGGGAGATTATCTTCAGCGGATGTACAATCGTTTCTCGGATGCCAAGTATTTTGGATTCTATAATTTCACCACGCCCGTGATAGTGCTTCGCGACCCTGAACTTCTCACCTCGATCACAGTGAAAAACTTTGACAACTTCACCGACCATCGCGGCTTCGTTGACGAGGAGCTGGACCCTCTGATGGGGAAGAACCTGTTTGCTCTTCGCGGTGATCGCTGGCGAGAGATGAGGAAGACGTTGAGTCCATCCTTCACCTCTTCCAAGATGAAGATCATGTTTAACCTGATCGTCGATTGCGCAGATAATTTCACCAACCACATCGCCAAGGAATCGAAAGGAGGGAAGGTGTATAACTTGAAGAAGATCTTTGGACGATACGCAACCGATGTTATCGCAACGTCCAGCTACGGGGTCGCTATCGACTCAATGAAGCATCCCAACAACGAGTTCTACGTATTCGCTGAAAACTCGATAAACTTGTCGCCTGTCAAGTCCTTAAAGCTGATGATAGGAAATAACTTTCCTAGATTGACCAAACTGTTTGGGATTAAGATCATGAGCGATGAGGATCGCCGTTACATCACTGGTGTTGTTGCAAACGCTGTTACTACGAGGAAAGAACAGGTACGAGAAAAAGGCAAAAAATTTGTTAGATTAGCGGTCGTTACGAGGCACGGTTATCAAGTAATTGGACTGGTAGTTGATACGAATGAACGTGAACACATCGGAAGTACGTAGCGTGATTCTGAAATTGTTAAAAATAGTGTTAGAACGGGTGCCCTTGAAAACTCGAGACTCTTGAATGTTTGAAATAGCACGCATGTCTTCGATTTATTACAGCTCCTCTTCAATGGCTCTTATTGAATGATTTAAAAATGTTGAAGATCTAAAACGTTGTAGAAGATCTTGAGAGTTTAGAATGTCTCAAGTGTTGTTTTTTGATCTGTCTCCACGAACAGGGTATCTACCGTCCAGACATGATCCAATTGATGATGGAGGCGAGGAACAAGGACGGAACGGAGCTAACCATCGACGAAATGACAAATCAAGCGTACGTCTTCTTCCTGGCAGGGTATGACACGTCCTCTAGCTTCCTGTGCTTCACTGTTCACGAGATCGCAGCGAATCCAGACGTGCAAGCCAAGTTGCGAGCAGAGATCCAGGAAGTTGTTCGAAAGACAGGTGGAAGTCTCTGCTACGATGCCATCAAGGAGATGACTTACATGGACGCAGTCCTGAAGGAATCAGGCAGACTATACCCTGTAGTGACACGACTAGACCGTGTATGCGTGGAAGAATTCACGTTTCCACCAGCGACTCCGAATTCGAAGCCATTCACCATGAAACCAGGGGGACTCGTGTGGTTCATGCCTTTCGCCATCCAGCGTGACCCAAAAAACTTCCCTGATCCACTCAAGTTCGATCCCAATAGGTTTCTGAACGACGACGTTCCTCAAAACATTAACGTTCCGTTCGGTATAGGCCCAAGAATCTGCATAGCGAAGAGATTTGCTTTGATGGAGGCTAAGATCGTGTTAATCTACCTCTTATTGCGCTGCGAGATAGAACCCTGCGCTCAGACCACGTTACCAATGAGATTCGACAAAAAGAGATTCGGGCTGGTTGCTGACAATGGGTTCTGGCTGAACTTCAAGGCTAGGGATGAAGCTGTTATTTGAGAATAGAATTGTTGGATAAAGGGAAGCTTCTTTTGGAAAATGCTTTGATTGTGATATACTTATGTATTAAGATTAAATACTATGATACTATGGTCAAACTGTTTGTTAACATACTGTTTATTTAAGAGAATAAAGAATCCTCTGTACTAAAGTAACCTAGCTAGATGTCAATTCTAAAGTTTTGCCTTGAAATTGTCCCTCTCTTCCTTCACTTTTAATTAAATAATAAGAACCTATTTGTAGTTAATTAGAACCTAGTGCCAACCTCGATTCTTATTTATTCGAAGACTCACGTAGACTACAAACGAGACATCTTCTTATCGATTAAGTCGCTTCACCTTAATATTTCTTATCAACAGCCTTATATAAGAGTCAGTTATCGAGGCTTAAGTGTCACATCGCGGGCTCGCAATCTCTCTCGATTGCTAACTAGACTCAATCACGAGTGAACAACGACGGTGTTTATCATCTTCACTCAGTTGACGATCGAGACACGACCAAGATGGATCTTGTCACGGCAGCCCTGTTCTTCGTGACGGTCCTCCTCTTCGTCTATCAGTATGTATGGAAATCAATGAACTATTTCAAGCGCATGGGAATCATGCACAAATCGCCTCTTCCTATCCTGGGGAACATGGCACCGATCATCTTCTGTCGTGTATGCATGTCTGAGTATCTTCAGAAGTTGTACAATAGCTTCCCAAACTTCAAGTACTTCGGATTCTACATGTTCACCACGCCAATAATAGTGGTCCGTGATCCAGACATAGTATCATCGATCGCCATCAAGAATTTCGACAACTTCACCGACCATCGGGGCTTGGTTGACGAGGAGCTGGACCCTCTGATGGGGAAGAACCTGTTCTCTCTTCGCGGTGATCACTGGCGAGAAATGAGAAAGCTCCTGAGCCCATCTTTCACCTCTTCTAAAATGAAGACCATGTTCACGCTGATGAAGGATTGCGTGGAAAGATTCGCGGAGCACATTGCCGCGGAATCAAAAAATGGCAAAATCTACGACTTGAAGGACATTTTCGGAAGATGCAGTACCGACGTGATTGCGACGACCAATTTTGGTATAGCTGTTGATTCCATGAAAAATAAGGACAACGAGTTTTACGTGTTTGTTAAAAAGAGCATGGCCATCACACCCATTAGGTCGCTGAAGTTTCTGTTGGGAAGGAACTTCCCTAATTTGTCCAAATTACTCAAGATAAGAGTGTTCAGTACCAAGACTCGCAAATACTTCACTAGTATCATTGATGAGGCGGTTAGAACAAGGAGAGAGAAGGTAAGCGAATGGTACCTAATTAAGGTACCATTATGTTTCCTCATTTTCCTTTTACTATGACTTCTCTTTGTCTATAAACAGAATGTCCACCGTCCAGATATGATCCAGCTGATGATGGAATCACGGGATACCAACGGGAGACAACTCTCTATCGACGAAATGACTAACCAGGCTTTCGTCTTCTTCCTGGGAGGGTTCGACACGACCTCCAACCTGATGTGCTTCGCTGCTCACGAAATAGCAGCGAATCCAGACGTGCAAGCCAAGCTGCGAGCGGAAATAGAGAATGTTATGCGCAAGACCAATGGGAAACCCACCTACGACGCTCTGAAAGACATGAAATACATGGATGCGGTGCTAGATGAGACCAACAGGCTCTACCCTGCCGCAGGTTTTCTGGATCGTGTTTGCGTGAAAGAGTTTGAGTTAGAGCCAGCAAACCCAGACTCGAAACCTATCACCATGAAACCAGGAGATGTCGTGTGGTTTCTGCCATTCGCTACGCAACGCGACCCAAAGATCTACCCCAATCCACTCAAATTCGATCCCGATCGGTTCCTGAACGCTGAAATATCTCAGAACACTTACATGCCATTCGGTATAGGCCCAAGAATCTGCATAGGGAACAGGTTCGCCTTGCTGGAGAACAAGATCATGTTATTCTACCTTCTGTTGCGCTGTGAGATCGAGCCCTGCGCTAAAACCACCATCCCGATGAGATTCAGCAAGAAGACCGCTGTGCTCACTGCTGACAATGGGTTCTGGTTGAACTTCAAGGTTAGGGACAATGGAGTTTCTGTTGGCGATGTCGACGTTAGCAAAACTTAGGAAACTGTTGTTAATCGACTAGCGGGGAACGGTGAGATTCTGTGTTGAAATGAATATCGATTGAAAGGAGTAGTTTGGCTCAGAAAGCGGAAACTGGCGAGGAGAACAGTTCTATTTCACTATGTAAAGCTTAAGAGTGAAACTTTTCTTAATCGAACAAGTAAGAATGTTGACATATTACATCGAAAGGGGGGAATATTGATCGAAGAGAGGTCCAGAAGTTTGGGGTAGAAGTTTAGACAAATGACATAATGAAATTTTAGTACTTTCTGTACTTACCACGTTCTGAACGTGTTAAAGTACGTCCATTGTAGAAATTAAATGATAGGTTTGATAGGCTGAATTTGTGTAGTACTCACTGTATCTAGATGTATACAGAAGCTAAACCGTAACATATTCGATATACGATACATATCCTTTCTATACTTAACGTAAATATAATCTGTATAGTACTTTCTGTATTTCATGAATTACAACAAAACAAATATAAGCAATTCTAAGGGCAGTATGAAATTCGTATTTTTATGCCTAATTGAAATCCTGATATTTAAATAAAAACTTCTACAAGAATCCTCTCTGTAATGATGCACTCTGCGCGCAATTGTATTATTTTCCAGAGCGATCCGTAATTTAAAATAATGACTGATACTTTCTGCGACTGTTACTGAAGCGATCAACTAATATAAACTTGGTCGATTGGTAGATTCAACGGTTTTAACTCCATCCACTGGCTTAATCTCTATAATCCTATTTAGATGGAAACAGTATTCATCATGGCTTTAGTGAATCTCGTAACACGGAATAACTATACCAAAGGGAAAAAGGGGGAGGAATTAAAATGCATTGCTTACGTTACTTCGTTGCATGTTACCAAACAAATGATTCGATTGCTTTGACGATCTTCATAAAGCAAATGAAACGGAAAATCGCATGTCGAATTTCAAATCGGAGTAAAACAATAATATGGGAAAGAGATGAACGTATTGAAACTTGAGTTATAAATATTACGATATTTTAAAAGAAAAACGTTTCTCACGCAACGCCCATTTCTCGCAATACCTTGATAACACGCTTAAAAAACTTTGATGAATATTAGTTTAACAGCACAAACGAAAGCACGCTATTAACTTGCAACCTCGCAAAGGTTGACTTCAGCAACTTTGAAGGAGAAGAATTACGTCAATTGACTTCTTTCAAAGGTAACGTGCCGCTGTTGATATATTAAATTGATAAGCAGTTTTTGCTAAGGTCTTTCATTACACGTTTATACAGAGTACAATGAAGATCGATCCATGGAAAAATTATTTTTTTTACTTTTATATATGAGCTGTTCACTGTGTACTCTAAACAATGCTTGAAACAAATCTAGGCACTTTTGAAATGATATTGTTTGTATGTTTACATGTTGAGTTTATTTCCCATTCTGGAAGGGACTAATTTGCAAATTGGATTCTGTTCATTTGTCCCAATGAAACAGCTATTTCCATTTGCAGCATATTCAAACTTAATTCGATCGACAAAAAATCCACTTACCCATCTTTCTTATTTTTCCAATATTTGCCAATTGACCAACGGCCGTGGATAAACCAGCACGTATTTGCGAGCCAATCGACGGTACAGTTTCACGTGGATCAGTTCCTAGAATCTCATTCAGACTTTCATCGCTCGCAATTTATCCCAATTTATCTCCAATTTCAATAATCCAATCCACGTGTAGATCGGGTTCGAGTTTTGATAAATCATATGGTAGATGGTTTAATTCTTTAAAGATAATTATGGTATATGTTTCAATTCCAAAATGTATTGTAAAATTACCTCAAGAGGTTACCCAGTGCGTAGATCATGGAGGTCAATAACATTTTTTTGAACAATATTTGTGACTTGGGGAAACTTTGTTACTGATCTTTACGAAACAGATTTCCATACACTTATCTCTTTTACGTGTTATATTCTTATTAGTCTATGGCACTCAGGACCAACGGGCTTAAAAGGAGCTCGAGTATATCGGGGAAGCACAGTCATAGCCCCTGAGGATGTACAGTGGTACAGTAGTATGGTAGTACGAATATTGAATGCACCTCAATGGAACCTACATGTATCTTTGTGCGCTTTTCTCATCGGCACAAGACCGTGACCCGAAAAGCAGAATGATCCAATGCTCGTATCTGCCGAATCATCGAGACGGAAGTGTTTGGCGACTCGTCAAATATCGTTCGTTTCACGGCTTCGAAACAAGCACACTTCGCAGACCGCGCTACTGAATTATTCATACTGTTCGACCTGAAAAATCTGCCCCGCACTTGCTCCTGGTTCGTGCATGAGCGATCTACACATGAAATTTTATCGAATCACAGGTGATAGGAAGAGCGTCTAATACTCGAGCGAGGCGGTAACTTCAAATCCAGTCATTAATTTTATTATTGGTATACACGACGATCGCATTATAGTAGCCTATCGTTAAAATGATATCCTAGTTTTATGGTTAATAACCATACATTATTTTCCTAACATAAATTGCAGTTTCATCGGCAAAGGTAACGACGATTGTGTATAGAAGTTCTAAATTGGCATTAAAATTGATATTGCATTTCCCTGCGATGTTCGTCATATTAAATTTAAATATTAAACACCGTACACAGATGCTGCCGTAGTAAAGTCTACCGTATTGTAATGACACATTTCAATCAATACTCGAATCTTTCACCTGTGCGCAATATTGAATTCTTCTATGGCAATTCCGATTTGTCAAGAGCTCTATCGAAATAACGAATATGATGAATTGAGCACGCGGAAAATGGTACGTTTACACGTCGAAAGCTTGACATTGATTCAAATTGGAAAAATCCTATGCAGAAAGAATACAGTTGAAAAAGAAGGGTTAAAAAGAGTTTTTATATTGGAGTTTTAAAAAGTGCTGTTGAAGCTGGAACTTTTAATTTTCTATTTTCATTTCACTGATTACATAGCTGAATTACTAGAAAGAAAAATATTAATACCTGTACAACATGGTATCAAGTATTTCAGTTCAAACAATAGCTCGCAAAAATTACGGATTTCTAGAGCGTCTGGTGTTATCGATTTCTGATTAAAGTCGTTATCGAGTTAATCAGAATCTAACTATGCAGCTAATACAGGAAACGCCATTCATGCGATACAGCTTTTCGGGGGATACTTATTTTAAGATCGTATAACTTAACAAGACAGAATAACTAATAGACGTTACTTCGTTTTGCACCAGTCAGATATAATAAAAAAAAATTGAAATGTGTTCCTCTTCTTTCATGTAACTTTAAGCAATTCTTCTTTCTTTATTCAAAAATGACACAGGCACTACTGGTGGAGCACCCTGTATATTCGCCATGTAGCCTGAGACACGGTGACGCAATGAAAAGAACATTTAGCTCCTTTAAACGATGCAATATTTTCTTGTTTACATTTCCATTCGAAGAAATTCGTTTGACTTAAAGCTCGGCGGTCCGATTTCCATAATTATTAATACTACCGTGATACAGAAGCTATATTGTAGGGAACATCAAAGAAAATATTCCCCGCGATCAAATTAAGCCGCTCTTTACGCAAGAACAATGAAGATTATTGCAAATGGGATCGACGAATCGCTTAAATCGATTAGTTTCTGAGGAAAATCCCTTATGGAAGAGATTTCCTCTTTTGCGATGAACTTTATTAAGATCCGGAACAAATGTCATTGGAAGAGATTTCCTCTTTTGCGATGAACTTTATTAAGATCCGGAACAAATGTCATTGGAGAGTTTTTATTCCATGTAATATCGTTTCTGTTAAAAGAGGCATTGAATTAATTATATTCTTAATGTAATGGCACTGGATTACTTATTTCGTTCTTAGATTAATTTAAGTACTCGTTGAATAGAGTACAGATTATTCTTGGTAGAAAGAAAAAAGGAGTTTCATTTCTGTTCTATTCCTAAAGACTTTACTAATTTTTATCGATACTTTTCCTACGTTCGAATACCATTCCTTCATCTCCCAAATTTCAGCTTCGTAATTTCAAAGTGGGGAACATCAGAATTCGAAGAATTCATTTATGAAATTGATCAAAATACTGAACGGTCCAAGATCAGCGCAAAACTAATATAAAGTCGAACGCCGATAGTTGAACGACACTCGTGTAATCTTCCCCACGTGTTGTGAAAGTCGGGGATCGCAAACTTCTCGAGTTTGCGAAACTACTACTTGCCCTCAGCCTTTGCTGCCATTGAAAATGATAAAGAAGAGAGTAAGTCACTGTTCTCTCATTATTGAACGACGCGTCTACCGATACGTTGGGCGTACAGCGTTTTGCGAGGCAATTTACAACGACAAATTTTAATTGGCGAGGCTAGACGTTGATTTATGTCGAAGGAAGTAATCTAATAAACGGTCGCCCGTTCCGACGATTTTTAACCTTGAACGGTTCTCGAGGTGCCTGTTAGAACTTCTCCATTACGTATTCACTTTCTGATGGCTCTTGTAGATAATGCACGAAGAAAAATTTGCAAAGTTTAATTGTCATTACGTGTATTCTGTTGGAAATTTTTTTTCACTTTTCATTAAAAGTCGAACGGGAGCAAGTGAGAGGTTGTAAAGTGGATGGATTCTCTATGATCTCACAGGTTACGAGTTTCCGATACGCTACTGATGAAGACAATGTTTGCAGTAGCTGATAACATGGATAAAAAATGATTGGCACCCCGTGGACATCTATTGTGATGGTTTAGTCTACAGTATAGCACAATTGAAACGTCGCGCCCGTCATACTTTCTGACATAATGTACATTACATAATGGAAAACATTGTCTACAATGTTAATAAGTGATATAACTTTTGAAATTTTTATTGGAAATCTCCGTATTTGTTTTAAATGTATTGCAAATTGGACAATAGTATGGTAGCTTTGATATTGCTAGATTTATTAATGTCTTGCTGACGCATATAGAATTCTAAATAATTTCCAATGATAAATTCGTGTTTGACAGGATACGCAGGGTTTTTGTTTTTTATCCTTTGAAAAATGGGGTATGAAAACTCCTTTTGATCATGTCATTCAGCAGAATTGTAAGAGTTTATACGAAATATTTTACATCATTTACAATCATTTCATATTTGATTCGATTCAGATCATTTTCCGATGCGTCTGTTGCAATCTATCCGTAATTTCAATGGAATTCAAAATTAACGTCGATTTTACATGTACATCGAACTCTACCTAATTAATATTTATCGGGTAGGACACGTTTTTGGTATAATAAATTTTTACTTTTAGGTGCAATCGACATGTAGTGTATCGAATAAAGCAAACCTTGATTTCGTTTCCCTGTAACGCGATTCGTGGTACTGTTGGCTATTCAATTAAAACTAAAAAAAGATTCAAAATTGGTCGACGATTCTCTTGTTAGCGAGTTGTCGCTACAAAGCATATCAATGCGTAAACTGGAAGAATTTCTAGAAAATCAATTATCGTCGTACTACGTCTGTTCCACCTGCAAC